TGTTTTACGGGCGCGTCTCGATTTCCGCGCAACGATGACGCGCAAGGCGCGTCGTAAATCCAAACTATTGAATATCCCGGTCCCAATTACGCTCGCGTAACTATTCCGAAGTCGTCCCAAACTATAACGGCAAGAAAGGGGGGAGAGAGGGGGGGAGAGAGAGAGAGAGAGAGAGAAAACGATATATTGATAACCCGAAGTGCAACGCTAACTCTGTTTACCATTATTTAGCCTCACAATGGAACGTGAATTACGAGCAACAACGGCATTGAGGATCGCAAATTGTCTGCGCCGGGCTTTTGAGAGATCCGATCCCGATATAATAGAAACGTAATTGCCGTTTACCGGCGCGGCGGCGGCGCGGCGCTCCGCGATCGATCCGCGCGGCTGAAGTTACCAATTTTCACGCCGCTCTTTCACACGATACTCGACACCGCGAGATATACTCGACGTGGGCGCGTGGCCGAAGCGGGTTACGCGACACGCGGTGCTTGTCGTCGTGTTGGCCAGAAATTCCAGCGCAGCGTATTCTCCTCCCCCGTTAACCCCCTCCCGCCCCGGGTAGTCAGCTCTTAATCTGCCCTCGCCGGGTGCAATCGACAATCAGTGGCGCGCGCGCGCGCGCGCTTCGGGCGGCGATCGGCGCAGCGCGAATCTCGCGAGCTATCTCGCCAGGGTTCTTGTCGCAGAGGTATCGTTTGTGTTGACGTACATGTCGATACGTACGTACGTACGTGTGTGAATGGGGCTTTACCGGCCGTACGCGACGCACGTGTTGCGGAGCGGCCGCGAGTCTTCCCGGTGCGGGTCCCTCGCCGCTGAATTCGTTGACCTAGGTAGGCGGCCCGATCGATAATCATGGCGAAAGGAGCCGGCCGGTGAAAACAGCGCTGTGCGGGCCCACCGCCGCAGCTCGGCCGCTCGGGCGAACGTGTTCGGCGCGGCCGAGCTGCGGCGAGCTAACACGCGTAGGGAAATCACTTCGTTTTACCTCGCGGCACGCTTATCGTCGGGAGAAATACGTAGAAGCGCGGAAACCAAATGAGAGGGGGAGAGAAAGGTGAAACAGGAGAGACTGCTCGAACAAAAAATTGTTAGGGCCATCTCCCCCCCGATAAGGCTGAAAATAGGAGGTCCTAAAAAGGGATGCCTCATTATCGCTCGCCACATCAGGCCCCAAGATGAATCTGTTCGGGATATCTTAGATTTCAATACGAAATAAGGCTTCGACGAAGGAGAAGCTGAAAAGGGTCTTAGAAGGATTTTTTAGGGATATCTCAGATTTAATAAATAAGGCTTTCATAGGGAAAGCTGAGAAGAATCTCAGAAGGATTTTTTAAGGGATACCTTAAATTTTACGAAGTAGCTTTAACATGAAAAACTGATGTGGGCTTTAGAAGGATCTTCTATGGATGCTTTCGATATATAAAATAAAGTTTTGTTATAGAAAATTAAATTAGGATCTGAAGCGGGTGATAAAATTGTCATAGTTTAATGTTGCTTTAATAGGCACGCTCTATCTGGTTCATTCAAAGATTTTTTAATTATACCGCAATTAACAACAAATTTTATTAGTTTTATTAGTTGCCACGTTCAGCAGTCTCTTCCAAGGATTTTTCTAGTATCGCCTTCGTTTTGAAATGCAGCAAACTTTAATAAAAACAGTGGCAGGGTTTTTATATGTAAAGTATGCTATATTTTTAAAATAAAAAATTCTTGTATACTACACAAGGTTATAGAGAAATTACAGTCTAAATTTCTTGGAATGAAAAGAACGAATATTTTTACTCAAGCAGTGATAAAAGTATTTCTTTATAAGGCCCTGATAATATTTCCTTATACGATCCTATTGATAATGCTTTATAAGATCCTCATATTTATTGCCTTATAAGGACCCGTTAAATTTGTTACACATCTTGTCTTTCTATCCCTTTCTAGGGCCCGATTAATGTTAGGGAAAAATAATCAGGTCCTTACCAGAGCCCTATTGATGTTTCTACTCGAGTAGAGAAAAGAGGGACAACATCGTCATGCGAGGCGAAACATCGGAGGGCGCGGAAATTAATTACGTCTGTCAACCGCCGCGAGTCGACTTCCGGCGGGGTGGTTCTCGCAGAGTCTCGCGGTCTAGCACGCCTCGTCGTGAGGGTTCGCGCCCTCCGATGGAAGCCTGAGGACGCGCGCGGCAGTGCGAAAGACGAGCGAGAAACAGCGGCGGGAGAGCGATCGCTCGTGTCTCCTCCTGCATTCGCTCGGAGTCCGTTGCCGCCGGTTCGAGTTGACGACGCGGTTTCCGCGCTGTCGTTCACGTATTCTCGCTCGACTCGAGTTCAAGCTGCGAAATTACAGCGATGAGCAGCGATCGAATCGAAACCGATGACGAAGGTGCGCCGAGCCAATTACTCCCGCTTGACCGACATACGCGTTCTCACCTTTTCTCTCTCTCTCTCTCTCTCTCTCTCTCTCTCTCTCTCTCTCTCTCTTTTGCCACCCTCACCGGCGCGCGACAATCGCCCTTTTGTCTCGAGCGCGAGATGCTTCGCGCCCTTCGCGCCGCCGGAGACTCGGCCGCATTTTTCAATCGCGCACGCGACACACATTTCGCGCGGCCACCGGCGGCGTAATGAAAAAACCCCGGCGGTATATCGATGCGAAAGCCCGACGACGTCGGCAGCGAGAGAGACGCGAGTTTACGCGCGCTGTTGATCTCGCAAACGCATCTCGCCGGCAAGAGGAGAACAATTGGAGAAAATAAAAGGGACAGTGAGAGTGAGAGAGAAAAAGGGGATTACGCATTGTGCGCTCTGCGACATGTCCCTTTGAGCGCCTAGAAATTAATTGAAGCAAAGTATAACATTTTGTATCCAGAGAGAGAGAGAGAGAGGGGGGGGGAAGGGAGAGTAAAGACGCGAGCTTGTTCGGACGTTTGCCGAAACTGACCGGTCTCACTCCGGTTTATTAGAAATTCTCATCGCCGAGATAAAATATTTGCGCGTAATATCCGCCACGTACGTTCTCTCTCTCTCTCTCTCTCTCTCTCTCTCTCTCTCCTCTCTGTCCTCCGCCTCGCGATTTGACCGAGCTTCCACGACGAGTTTATTCAAACGTAGGGAAATATATCCGCCCGACTATGGCGGCAATATTCGACGGCGAAGGTCTCTATGGATACACCGGCGCGAGAATCAATTTTAAAACGCTCTCCGTTGCACAGTCGCGACAACGCGTGTCGTAGGATCTCTCAATTTTTTCGCGGCATTCAATTCCTGCCGAATTCGACGATTTCCCACTCAGCCGCCCCCGCCGCGGGAGACGTTCACGCGCGCCGAATTCTCGCCCGCCGCCGTGGGCGCGATCGCGGATAGCGAAAACGATTACTTCCACTCGGCGTTTCCATCCGCCAGTAATAAAAAAAAAATAAAATAAAAATAGAGAAGAATGTTACCGAAAAAGAGAGAGAGAGAGAGAGAGAGAGAGAGAAGAAAAAAGGAAGGCATCAGGGAACACCGTCGAAAATATCGATGTGACGGAATAATGTCAGCGACAACAACAACAACAACAACAACGCGCTACCGACGAGATACTCGCGCGAGCTGATGCGACAGCGTTTCACGGCTTCGTCGTCCGATCGTTCCCGACGACGCTGTTTATGCGACGCGCATATTTCCGCGGAGCGCGCACGGTTCGCCGCGACGTCTCTCTCGCGCAAAGCTACACAGGGAGCGAGAACCCGGACGCAGCAATCTCACGGCGGGATATTTTTCGCGCGAAATAATAACAACTGTAGCGGGCGCCGAGCCGATAGGACGATAACGTAAACGACCGAAACGCGAGGTGCAAAAAATAAGCGGAAGGGCGGGAGAGGAGGAGGAGGAGGAGGAGCGGGCGAAAATAACGGTGCATCCCGCGCTGCAACGCGGCGGGATTTGCTCTGTCAAATCGGCCGGCGATATCGATATTGCATCGTGGATTTTCGTGCTTCCGTCGCGAAGCTGCCCGCCGCATCTCTCTCTCTCTCTTTTCCTTCTCTGCTTCCTCTCTCCTGCGTCCTTTCTTTTTCACTCGGAGCTCACGTCGGGATACCTCAGGCGTGAAATGAAGATAAAGAGAGCGGTGAATGACGGTGAATCAGCGCGGCGGACTGCGGCGTCAATAAAATGTTTTCTCGAGCACGTCGCGGAAAGACCGCGGCGAGCGAGAGCGAGCGAGCGGCCCTTCCGTGGAAGAGAGACGAGAGCGCGCCTCTCGGCCGATGTTGACGCGCGCGCGGCCGAGCGAATGTTGCCGGTAATAAACTAATGAGTCCAATTGAGGCCGGCACGGGAGGAGAAAGGATTTACCGTGTCATGCGCGCCGCGCTAATCCGTTTCCAGCGAATTATGCAACGCCAGGTCGCAGTCGCGACCGAAGGGATTCCCCCGTCGTCCTCGTTGCGCCGCGGATTAACGGCCACGGCATGTAAGGGAGCGGCTCTCCGTGTCCGCGCCGGGAGACTAACGCAACGCGCGCGTGTGGGCGTGACATTAGCGGGACTCGGACGTGACGCGCATCATTAAAGCCGCTCGCGAATCGAATTCTTTTGCAGCACAGCGAAATCGCGCTACTCAATTAGAAGAAACGCGAGAAGAGTCGGTTCAATTAACGCGAAAGCTCTCTCCTCGCGGCGGTAACACGGCGAGAGCGAGAGAGCGTGAGAGAGAAAGAGAAGAGAGGAAAAGAGACGGAGATAGAGATAAGATGGAGAGAGAGAGAGAGAGAGAGAGAGAAGACGCAGAGAGCCGATCCGAGAGCGGCGAGTTCGCTCACCGCGAGGAATAAAACATGTAGAATGCGTGTCACACGGCGGTGCTCGATAAATAATAAATAATTTATCGCCGTCGCTCTCTCGCGCGAGTACAGTCGGAATAAGAAACGGCTGTTTCGGGCGGCCGAGCGGCGAGCTGCTTCGCGGCGTGAGGACGAAGAAGAAGAAACGGGCTGCGGGCTCGTGAGACGCTTCTTACCAGTCGAAGAAATTCCACAGGCATGCGAACATGTTGACGGCGCGGTCTCCGCATCGAAGACGAGCCAGCCGATACGAGTAGTGCGTTGCCGCCTCTTTCTCCGGCGAGTCCTCCTCTCCTGGAGCGCGGCTCCAGGTCGCCGCCGCTCGCGGGCGGCCGGTTCCTCTCGCGGGAGCCGCCACGGTCGGCGACGCACACTTGCAGCTCTGAGAGAGAGCGAGAGAGAGAGAGTGAGGGAGGGAGGGAGGGAGGGAGAACGCCCGATTCTCAGAGGGTCCGCCGCGATTCCGCTCGGCGATGTTCTCCTCTCATCGGCGAGCCCTTCGCACTCGCGCTCGCGGGGACCTTTGCGCTGGCATATTTCGATTCGACGAATTCGACGAAGGCGAGGTATGATCCTCGGGATCGCGGCCTTCCGCAGCTTCCTGTCGCGTCCGACGACGACGACGACGACGACCGCGGACCGTTTCCGTCACGTCGAAGCGGAGCCGCCACCCCGAACGCGCTTCGCCCGGCTCTAACGAGATGATGAGGTCACGGTGAGGTCGAGAACGAAGCGCATTGTATGCGTGCGCGAGGCTCACTTTACACGGTGTTACGAACGTCGAGAGAGATAGAGAGAGGGACAACGGGAGGGGGGTAGAGCTTGAAATTCTCGTTCCCAGCGTGAAACCGTGGCAATTAGTCGGCTAATTCTAAAGCGGAATTGCAAATTACCTGTCGCGACGGAAATGTCGTTGCTCGTCGCGGCGGACGCGTGCGATCCCGTATTAATATAAACAAGCCGAGTGAGGAGAAAATGGCGTGCACACCTGTCCTGCTCGCACACACACGCGCGCGCGCGCATACACACAGTGTGCGGCTCGCCCTCGCGCGATACTCGCCGCGATAAAAACGACCGGAACAATATCCGCGGCGCTTTCTCTTAGGCGAACGTCGTCAGCAGGATATACCGCCGGCGATATTTCGATCGGACGTGTCGCCTGATAAAAATGGATTTATACGCGGCCGCTGTGAAAGGGCGGCCGGGCCGCGTTCGCGCGCCGGCCGACGAGGAATTGGGAAACAAATTAAAAGCCGGGGAAAGCTGCCGCTGCCGCCGACCCCGGTGATAACCACTTGGGCGAACCCGCGTAAACTCGTTACAAAGTCTATCACCGTTCATCGAAGATTGTATGCATTTATGAGAAGGAAGAGCGCGAGCGCGCGCGCGCAAGACGCGACGTCACGCGACGGATTTTTAACCCTTAACCTTTGCTGCACAGTGATCCATCTATCTCATCCAAGCCTGTTTTCCCAATAATTTAAATTTGTCACATATTTCTTTAGCATATTTTTTGCATATTGCTGGACTACTCAAATGCTCCCTTAACTAATACATCAAGTTTTGGAGTCACTTTAAATAAGTAATTATTAATAAGCTGAGCAAAACACTGGACAAAACTGTCGTTTTTAGAGGATAATTCGTTTACATGAAATTTTAGATAATAACGTATACTTTAAGATCATCATCTGGGAGTTTCTTTGGTGTCGCTGAATAGAAATCCGGTGTGAGAAATACAAAATTCCAAATGGCGGACGGAATTTTCGAAATCACGGTCAAATTCGCTTGGAACTTGTTGCTCGGGGGTTTTTGAAGTCGCTGAATAGGAACGCGGTGTGAAAAGTACAAAATTCAAAATGACGCGGATCTCATATGGCGCGAGCATAATTATAGAATTGAAACAATTCAATTTGAAAATGGCTATTAATTGCGCTTTTTTACAGTGTAAATATTCGATAGTTGATCGAAGATCTTCAACTTATTCTTTGCACAAAGCCCGAGACCTAACGACGATTTATAATTAGCAACCTCGGAAACTCTTAAACAACAAATTTCCAGCGAATTCGACTGATTTCGAAAATTTCGTCCGCTTCATTGGATCCGCCATTTTGAATTTCGTATTTTTCACACCGGATTTGTATTCGGCGACCCTAAGAACTGTCGAGTACAACAAGTTTCACAAAATTATATTCGTTAGAAAAAAAAAAAAAAAAAAAAAAAAACGTGCACCGAAGGGTTAAGGGCTACCACGAGAGATTGAGATTCAGCCCATGCTAATTTTCTCTCGTTCTTATTAAATGTTAAATTATCCGCCGCAAACGATAACTTTCCTGCTCTTCTCCTAATTCTCCTCCATCTAATATTCAATAATAATGGAATATTTAATAGCGTTTTCTTCTTTTACTTCCAGGTTAGAAAATGTATACCGCAATGAAATTTCATCCACGACAGTAATCAACGTAATTTTCTTCGATGGTAGCTTTTAAAGGTTACACCTGTGTGACGTCACTCGCCACGGTTACCGCGCGCGCGTGTGCGTATGACGCTTAAATTTCCCCGGAAATGAATACTCCGGCGGATGCGCGCTTCCGGCGACGAAAGCGATAAATCGATCATAAACTCATTTAAACGGCTCCGGCAGCGTAAACGCGCAGCGAGACATATTAAAGGCCGTCTGACAGGTTCTCTCTCCCCTCCGCGAGCGCACCGCGAGCAAGCGTGAGCGACTTTGCGTCCAAGTTCATTAAAGTTGTCGTTGTGTTGCGAGAGCGAGCGCGCGGAAGTAACGGAAGCACGAAGGAGAGAGCACGTCGCTCTCTCGATCGAGCCGAGTTTTTGCGCGAATCTCGCCGTAAGCTTCGCGCTGCGAGCGGGAAACACGCTCTGTCGCGCACTTCGGTGTCTCGCATCTTCCTCGATTCTCGATTGATCGCGCCGAATGTTTTCCCTCGTATCTTCCAGCGGCTTCCGCGCCGCTCTCCGGCCGCGTACCGTCACCGGCGGAATACAAATTTTATTTCGCAGTATTTTAATTTCGCAGCACGTGGGAAGGGGGGCCCCGTGTAAAACGACGGCCCGACGAGACGACAGAGAGAAAGAGATGCGGAGAAACGAAGAAAGCATTAAGCGCTGAATTTTGCACGCTCCACTCGATCGGCGTAAATAGCCGGGGGGTCGCTAATGCGACGGGGGTGACGTTCGCGAGGAAGCGGAAAAGGAGGGGAAGCGCGCGGCGGCCTTTCCGTCGCATTATCTCCGCCGCTCGCGACGTAATGTATTCGACAGCATGTAGGGCGCGCATCGAAAACGGAGAGTTGCGTCGGAGAGTAGTCGCTAGTCGAATACATGAATAATCAAGCAGCAAGTTGCACGGCACTACCGCTCTTAGCTTAGCCACGGCGCTTCCATCAAAAAGCTGTTCATTGTCCCGCCGCGTCGCGGGCGGTCCCTCTTTGCCCTTTTCTTCTTTCTCTCTCTCTCTCTCTCTCTCTCTCTCTCTCTGTCTCCCCCTCTCCCCCCACCGCAAAATATAAATCTGTCCGCGCCCTACCGCTGTAAATCGTCCAATTACTCGCGCTCGTGCGAGCGTTTAAATCGCCGCTGATTTTTTAATAGCTTTCCCGCGCGCGTATTACATAAGGGGTTTCTCTTTAACCTTTCGGATAATCTCGAAAGAGGCGGCCGTGCTTATATCGGCCGTGCTTAATACCAAAAGGCGATCTTTCCCGCGGAAGCGTTAATTAGCGCGGCAAAGAGATTTATACAGGTAAATAACAACGATGCGAGTAATTCCGACTCGCCGCGACCAGTTGCTCTTACGCGGCCGATGGATTCTCCCTCCCCGCCGCCGGCGGCGACGCTAAGTGATTAAACGCGTAAGTCTGTTTCGCTCCCTCGGATAAAAAGGAGGCTGCAGCCGGCCTCGGAGGAAGGTGAGGCGCGTTTCCGCATCGATCTCCACCCTATTCACGAGCGAGCGAAGCCCCGAGAGCGCAGCGTGTCCCGCGCTTTTTGCCCCGCTCGTCGTCTTTCTACCCCTCGCCGTCGAGAACAGCCGTCTCCAACACGTCACGACACGGTCGCAACGTCGAGGCTGTTCCTCGACGGAGCGGAGCGTCAATCGCGGGGAACACGCGGCGCGTGAATCTGACAGCCTGGCGCGCGCGCGCGTTGCCGAATTCGTAGATAAGCTCGCGTGTGCGTGTGTGTGTGTGTGTGACGGAGAGAAAAAGAGAGAGAGAGAGAGAGAGCAGAAAAGCGAGCGAGGAGCTTGTCGTCGAATCGATTCGACGCGGAAACAACAGGGCGCGCGCGTCTCGCGAGATGCACTTCGCGATAAAACGCATTAGCCGAGCGCAGCCCGCCGCGCGACTCCGACCTCCCCCCTCGCCGCCCCCGCACATTGTCGTCTCACCGTCGCTTTCAACGCCGGTCTCGCGTTGTCTCGAGTTAACAGCACGCCGGACGAGAATGCTCCGATTAGCATTCGTTCCTCAACGCGACTCAACGCCGCGCCGTCGGCGGATAAATAAGCGCGTGCTTCGGCGGAAGCGCGGCGAAGGGTGTCGGCGACTCTGGGCGCCAAGGGGCGGGGGCGAGCAGGAAGGGACGAAGGTCGGCCCTCTCTCTCTCTCTCTTTATTTTTCCCGAATCTCCCCCCGCCGCGACGGGCATTGAACGTCGAATTAACGCGTGCTGCGTGAGCAGCCCGGCGCGGCTATCTCGCGATTCCTGGATCTCCGCGGCCCGAGCGAGTCCGTTCGCACCGCCCTTGGCCTTTCGCGAGCGAGCGAGAGTGCGTCGTCCTCTCCGTCGCGTGAACTTGACGCACGTCGTCGGGGCGGAAATCGAAGAAGGCCGGCTGACTCGCCGACCAAGAAGCGGATCGCAGCGTTCCGCTCGTTTCTGCGCGATCCTCGTCTCGCCGTCGACGGCCACTCTCCGCTCAAGGACGCGGTCTTCGCAGGACGAATCGCGAACCCTTCGCTACGGGACGACAAGGACGAGCACGAGCACCGCTCGCCGAGATGTTAACGCCGAACGAACCCACCCGACGATTCCGCGCGCGCTTGACGTGCGAGAAGAACAGCGTGCGATTTGGACACTCGCATGGCAAACGAGCGGGCGGAAGTTTCAACAGTCCACACGAAACAAGAAGAAGCCCAACGTAAACGCGCGAGACGTCCTGTCGGCGAGCGGACCAACGCCACGGCCGCGCATGAGGCGAACTTGCCACGAGCAACTCCTCGAAGGAGCCTCCGTTTCCACAAACCGCGATCGCACCGGATCGCTGCACGGCGATCGGCGAGGCGCCGCTCGCACTCGCGGCGCGGATCGAGCGAGGGGAAGAGGAGGGAAGAGGAGAATCGCAGTCACAGCAGAATACGATTCCCCCAGGGCAATCGGTGCTCGATCACGTGCCGGTCCCCGCGTCGCGTCGCGGTCGACGCTCGCGCGAAGCCGCGGCACTTCCGCGACGTCGAGCAGGCGGGCGGGCGGGCGGGGGGAGGAGGCGGAGCGGAAGCGAGGAAAACAGTCCACACACGACGTCGCGCGCGGCCGAGGCAGTCGATCGCCTTGACCGAGGTCACGCCGGAGGACGCCGGAAGCGGAGCGGCGGCGGCGGCGGACGGGGAAGCCGAGCGCCGCGCGCGACCGCGACGATCATCGACGCGACGCGCAGGACTCACGCGCCTCCTGCGGAGCACCTGCGAGCGAGCAAGCGGCGGCTTAGCCGGCCGGCGGAAGTCGCGAAGAATCCGCGCCGGAGAATCGCCCGGGCGGCACGACGCGACACGACGTGGTCGCGCGCGCGATCGCCGGCCTGTCCCGGCCGAGAAGGGCGAGAGAGAGAATCCCGGGGGTTGCCCGACTCGTAGCGCGGCGACGGCACAACTGGCATGCGCCTTCGCCACCCTCCTCTCTCGCGCCAGCGTCCGCTTCCGTCGCGCCGCCACCCCCCCGGCGCTCACCCTCATAGCGTACGGGGGCGAGCGGGAGGGGAGGGGAGGGGAGGGGAGCGGCGCGCGGCGCGGCTTTCCTTCTCTCGGATCTCTCTTCCGATCACCCCCGCGCGCGAGGAGCGCGAGCGGGTGCGCGTGTGCATCATCCCCTCTGCCTGCGCCGCCGGCCGCCGGCGGCGCATTGTCCTCGCGCGAGGGAGTTCGCAGCGACTATCGCGCGTCCTCCGCGGCACGCATCTGCCTTCCGCGGCAGCGGCTGCTTTTCCTATGAGGTCCTTTCCGCGATTTCCTCGACACCCTGACTGCCGCGGCTGCCGAGGGGCGAGAGGCGATGGGAAAGAGCGCGCTCGCGAGGCCGGTCCGTCTCATCTGTGGTGTTAGCTGATTTAGGGCCGGCGAGATCGGGATTGTTTGGATCACGCGGATGGAAATTGGCGAGATGTCGCGGAAAAGGACGAGACAATAACGAGCGATTAAACAGGGGTGGAGCGACGACGAAGACGACGACGACGACGACGCTGTTGGCGAGTAATCGCGTGTTGATTAACCCCGTGACGGCGAGCTTAAAAGAGGAGCTTGCGAGCGCTCGAAAAAGAAGAGAATCGCCGCTCCCAAGTCGACCGTAATCGGAAGAATTAGGATCGTTAGCTCGCCGCCGGTCGTGTATCTCCGACTCGCTGCCGGCGAGGCGTGCACTTTATTATCATCACGTCGTTAAGCGGCGAAGCCGTCTCGCCGTGAACAAGTATTAAAGAGGATCTTTCGAGAGCGCCGCTCTCTCTCTCTCTCTCTCCCTCTCTCTCTCTCTCTCTCCCTCTCTCTCTCTCTCTCTCTCCCTCTCTCTCTCTCTCTCCCTCCCTCTCTCTCTCTCTCTCTCTCTCTCTCTCTCTCGTAAGCGGAACTTCCTTCCACGACGACGGCGACAACCAACAGCATGCCGCGCGCCCGCGTTCCGTCCGATCGAACGACAAAGACGAGCGCGTCCCGGCCGTGAATGAATAGCGAACCGCGTGACCTACAAACACACGCGCTCGCCCTGAAAAATTATATACCCCCCGCGCCGTCACACACACACACACACACACACACACACACACACACACACACACACATCGATGAACACACGCGGTTACGCGCGTGCGTAACGTCATTGTGCGCGGCAGCGACGATAAAGAGTTAACGGTCGCCGGCGCGAATGGCGTCGGGCAGATAGGATCTCGCGACATATTCATCCTCCTCGCCCGCGACGTCCGGTTAAATGATTCAATAAAATTGTAACTTTTCAATCAGGGCGAACTCCCCGATCGAAATTGCGATCGTGCGCAAAAACGCAAACGCGTGGACGTTGACAGATAGACGGATGGATAGATGGCCGAGGGCTCGCTTTGAATGCCAAGTGCTCGCCGATTAATTGAACGAGGCGCGCTGGCGGCATTTCGATTCGTCCTCGCTCACGCACACACGTGAACTTCGCCGCGGCTTCGGCTTCGGAGAAGGTTACCGGGCTGTGAAAGCTAAGGAGCTCCAGCTGTGCTCTGGTCGCTCTCCAGGCCCGACGATCGCGCTCTTCTCCGTTTTCCTCTCTCTCACTCTCTCTCTCTCTTTCTTTGTCCTCCCGCCTCCCCTCTGTCTCCCTCAGCGTGGCCGAAATTCGAACTTTGCACGACGATATACCGCGCCGCGTCTCCTCGCGCGACATTGCTGATGTCCCCGCCAGCTGCTCAGCAATTGCCGCCACGTGCGATTTCTCCGCTGCGGCGGCGGATCTGCTTAGCCGCCATTAACCCTTTGCTGCACGTTTCTTTCTAATGAATATAATTTTGTGAAACTTGTTACTCGGCGGTCTTTAAGGTCGCCGAATACGAAATAAAAATCGGTCGGATCCAATATGGCGGACGAAATTTTCAAAATCAGCCGAATTCCCTTGAGATTTGTTACTTAAGGGTTTTCGAGATTGCTAATTGCAAATTCGTTATCGAAAATTCGAAATGCCAGAGCTATGACGGATATGTATACGGCAAGGTTCGGTTGACACCGGTCAGGTTGCTCGGTTTTCAAGCGCAGACAGCGCTTGTTTCATTTCTATAATTATGTTCGCCATATGAGACCCGTCATTTTGAATTTTGTAGTTTTCGCACCGGATTCGTATTCAGCGACTTCAAACCCCCCACCCGCTCCCTCGAGTAACGAGTTTCAAGCGAATTCGACTGATATTGAAAATTCCGTCCGCCACTTTGAATTTTGTATCTGTCACACCGGATTCGTATTCAGCGACTCCGAGAAACCCCAGATAATGATTTTGAAGTATACGTTATTACTTAAAATTCCATGTAAACGAAGTTATTCTCTAGAAACGACAGTTTTGACCAGTGTATGCTTGTTATTGACGAATTACTTATTTGACAAATGACTCTAAAAGTTGATGTATCAGTGAGAGAAACATTTTAGTAGTCCGACAACCAAATATATACCAAATATGCTAAAGAAATGTGTGAAAAATTTAAATTA